GGTCGAGGTGGGTGATCACTTGAGGTCAGCAGTTCCAGACCAGCCTAGCCAACATGGTGAAACCCCATCCGTACTAAAAATGCAAAAATAAGCCAGGCATGGAGGCACATGCCTGTAATTCCAGCTACTCAGGAGGCAGAGGCAGAGGAATTGCTTGAACCCAGGAGGCAGAGGTCGCAGTGAGTGGAGATGGTACCACCGTGCTTCAGCCTGGGTGACAGAGCTACACTCAAAAACAAAAAAGGAAAACAAACAAAGGAAAACAGAAAAACACTTGTGGGCATAGGAGATGGCACGGCTGTCTGCAACAGGCTGGGGCTAGAGAAGCTGCACCTACACACTGCCCTGGGATTTTTTGCTGTCTCCGCTCCTCAGACCTTTGCTCCAGCCCCTAAAGCAAATTTCCTGGGTTGCTTTCGCAGTGGAAAAGCAGCAGCACCCATTACAGAGGAGACTGTGATTAGGAAGCGAGGGAAGAGTTGGTAAAATGGGACAAAGATGAAATTGGAACACAGCCTGAGGAAAGGAGATTGTGGGGACCCTCCCTCCATTCTCCCAGCCCCAGCTGTGAAGTGATCCATCAGAGGCTGACCAATGCAATTTATGCTTTCAGTCCACAGGAGCATCCAGGGAAAATGGAGAGGGTGGCAGGGAAGAAAAATTACTTTCTTGCTCTTCCCATGTTGCTCCGGCTTTCAGCTCATGCCTGCAATATCCTTGATGTATTTGTGCTGCTTGGAATTCTTAGCAATCACAAGAGAAGGACAGAATTGGTGCAGGAGATTCCATCCAAGGTTTGCATCTGCTCACAACTCAAAGTAGTTCTTTTGAAAAATGGATTCCCACTTGAAAGCAAAATTCATTTCCTTGTGTTTACAAGGAAAAAAAATTCCTCATTCTTTCAGGTAACTGCAGTCCACTCAGCACTTTAATCTTTTAGAAACCAGAGCTCCAAAAGCTGCTAGAACACCTTCAGCAGATTAACTGTGGCTTTCCCATGTGCCTAGAACAGCACTCATTCCAGGATTCCCCATAATGCGTAAAATACTAATATGTGATAAACTAGAAATGAAATAGCACCGCATCTGAGGAACACAGATCAGTCTACCATAGCCGAACGGTAAGCCTGCAGGGAGATTTCTCCAGGATTGCAGGTGGAATTTCAGAAGCAGCAGCACAAAGCCCAGACACCTGGTCTGGCCACGCTGGCCAAGACAGCACACAGGACACCTCCTTGTATCTCATGTAGTAGGGGTGGTCAGTGCCTCTGGGATCCGGGGTCTGGGGACTGCCCCTCATCCTAGCTGGCTGAGTCATCCCCTTTCTTTAAATGCACAGTGATTTGACTTTGTTACTGTATTTCCCATCCGATTCTCTGCCCTGTCTCCATGCCCAGGCAGTGACCAGAGCGCCATGTATTCAGATTCTCTAAAGGAAACACACGTTTCAGTTTGCAAGCAGGTATTCTGCCTCCCTCTCGTTGTTCTTCCCACTTAGGCTTTTCTGGAACTACTCAATGAGCTTGCAGCTTGGGCAGCCCTTGAACTTGAGAGAGGAAGGAGGAGTGGCTGCAGGGAGTGGGGCAGGAGCAGAGGAGCACACCTCACACCTCTTTGGGGGAACCCAGCCTGAGATTCAAACTTGGTAAGTCAGCACAGGAAGCAGCAGGCTGGATGGGGACCTGGGTCCCACGACACACGAAAGGAGGAAATACCTGGGGCCTGAGTGTGCTCCCACCGTGAAGCTTCAATCACGCCGTGTAGACAGCTGACTCTGTGCTGAGCCATGAGTCGGCTCATCCACAGGCCATGCATGTCCCAGTGCCGCACAATCCATGATTGATTTTCCCTCCATAGTCCAAGAAGAATTCAGTATAAAAATACCCTGTTCAACAAACAAGTCAAACGACCTGAAAGTGAGATAAATTGGAGGTGAGGCATGGCTGGTGGGTTGGGCAAGCCATTTGCAAGCTAAACATGCCTTGCACTCAGCCACTCCGGGGTTCTCTGCAGGAGCACAGAGCAGAGGTAGGAATTGGAATCCAAGATGTGGGGACCTCTCCACCCCATAAAATGGGTAATTTTTAAATCTTGGTGCTAATTTTTAACATGGCAAATATCAACACACATATTAAAAAAAGCTCTAGGATTGTGAATAATGTTTTATGAGTTTAAAGATGACATAGACCAAAATGTTTGAAAGCCACTAAAAAAACTACTCTTTTTCCTTGAAAAACAAAAACAATTACAGTTTGTATTTCCCTGTCACTATTATTCTTAGTCTAACTGTAACCACTTATATTAATTATCACTTTTCATCACAGCAACTTCTGTTTCATAAAGGAAACGGGGAGCCAGGGTGGAGGTTTGAGGGATGTCATACACAAGTATTGTCTACAGGAAAATGGGTAATTTTGAAAAAGCATTTTATGAGTAAATAGTTACATAACCTGAAATGTAAAACTGTTTTAATTCCCATTCTTACTTTACATGCTTATACTCATAACTTGCATTGAGTCTTTCTTTTTATTCCCCTTGAACTCTTATTTTTGCGTTTTTCTATCAAAACATGTCATAACATTTGTCTGCACTATGACGGTGCCCCAGTTATCACGGTATCCAGAGAGCCCTCGCCTCGGAGTGTCACTTCCTAAGTAGGAAGGAACAAGTGGTAGAAGCCGTGTTTCTGACTCTAAATTCTAAAGTAGTGGTCTCCAATTTTATTTTTATTTTTGGACACAGGGTATTGTTCTGTCATCCAAGGCTGAAGTACAATGTGGCGATCACAACCCACTGCAGCCTTAAATGGCCAGCTCAAGTGATCCTCCCACCCCCGCCTCCCAGGCAGCTGGAACTACAGGCACGTACCACCATGTCTAGCTAATGTTTTATTTTTATTTTTCATTATTATTTTTTTGAGATGGAGTTTTGCTCTTGTTGCCCAGGCTGGAGTGCAATGGCACGATCTCAGCTCACCACAACCTCCGCCTCCCGGGTTCAAGCAATTCTCCTGTCTCAGCCTCCCAAGTAGCTTGGATTACAGGCATGCGCTACCATATCCAGCTAATTTTGTATTTTTAGTAGAGACGGGGTTTCTCCATATTGGTCAGGTTCATCTCAAACTCCTGAATTCGGGTGATCAACCGGCCCCAGCCTCCCAAAGTGCTGGGATTACAGGCATGAGCCACCTCCCCCGGCCTAATGTTTTAATTTAATTTCTTTTTTTTTTTTTTTTTTAAAGACAAAGGTCTTGCTGTGTTGCTCAGACTGCCCTCAAACTTCTGGCCTCAGGCATTCCCCCTGCTTTAACCTTCTAATGTCCTGGGATTACAGGCACCAGCCACCACACCTGGCCTCCAAAAATTTTTATTGCCTCATATCTCTATCTGTAAAAAATTATAATATAATCAAGCCTAAGCTTCCCATTAAATTTATAATTATTTATTTAAAGAGAATGACCATGCGCTACTGTATTAATACATGAGGTACATTATAAAACATCCAAAAAATGGGGGAAGAAAATTTTAAAGGACCAGAGAAAAATAAGCTTAATTGGATGCTCCCAAGTTTTCCCCACATCATTTAATTGAATCAGAAATCCCATTTTTAAAAACCATTTGATCCAGTAAAAAGGAAGGATGACTTAATAAAAACGTCCTGTGTGTTTGATAGGAGAGGCTTTTCCATTGTATTTCTTGCCAAATAATCAAACACGCTGAGAACACAGAACAGCTCCCCAAGAAGCTTCCCTGTTTCTGTCCTTAGATGAATTTAAACCAGGCTTGCTGCTACAAGCTCACTTCCTGTGGCAGAGAAAGCTGCCTTGGCTTCCTGGCTTTGTCCCTCGGTGGGTGGCTTCTCCACCGGGTGGGGCTGGGGACAGGCTCAGCAGAGCCTTCACTTCGGTGGCTTTGCAGCAGCCGTTTCTAAGGAGCTGGTGCCTGTGCCCCGTGCAGAGCGCCATCCCTTCCTTTCCCAGCGATTTGTCTCGGCCTAATTGAACTCTCGCTGGCTGTGTTTCGGCACAGTTCTGTTTTGCCTACTGATAAATGGTTGTTCACTTTCCAGTTTCAGAACTTAACTAACCCCTGGAATGAACCACGGTTCATCTTCACCGTGTCCCCAGCGCAGAGTCTTGCGAATCTGACGATCGATGGTGTTCACAGCAAATTGGCTGTTCAGCAGTGACGTGCAGGAACCCCCCCAGACGATGTGCCATGGCTTTTCTGACAATGCCATGGCCTTCCCCAGACTCACTGGGGAACCTTATTTGAAGTTTTAAGAAAAAGAATTTGGACTTTCTTATAGCTTTTGCTAAAGTTCAGGAGTTCTAAATGATTACCCCAGTGAACCCATCAGATAAATATTTCTGCAACTAAACGAATGAGATGAAATTTGAAACAAAATATATCCATATTTTGTATATTCATACATACATACAATAGCTCTGCACCTATCTATCCACACGTCATGTGGGAACACAAGAAACATGTAATTAAGGCATGTCTCTGAGCTTCTCTACCTCCAGTCATCAAAGTAGCCAAAGCTTATAGAGCCAGCAATTCCATGGATGATCAAAACCCATCCTAGCCGGACACCTTTGAGAAAGTGAATTAACATTAGGATTGTGGTACAAAGATAGGAATCTAAGTAAGTCTAAAATGTGGAACGTGCTGCTTATGTTTAATTTTGTTTTGTATTTTCCTTTTTTTTTTTTTTTGAGATGAAGTATTGCTCTATCACCCAGGCTGGAGTGCAATGGCATGCTCTCGGCTCACTGCAACCTCCGCCTCCCAGCTTCAATTATTCTCCTGAATCAGCCTCCTGTGTAGCTGCAATTACAGGTGCACACCACCTCACCCAGCTAATTTTTTTGTGTATATATATATATATATGTATAATTTTTTTTTCAGTAGAGATGGGGTTTCACCATGTTGGTCAGGCTGGTCTCAAATGCCTGACCTCGTGATCTGCCCACCTCAACCTCCCAAAGTGCTGGGATTACAAGCGTGAGTCACCACGCCCGCCCTTTTGCCTTTTTTCTCTTCTAATGAGGTGATTTTGCAGGAATAAACTCCCTTAGCCATTAGTCAACATTTTACAAATGAAACCCAGCAAGGAAAAGGAACTCACTGAAGGCCGGTGCTCATTATTGAGGAAGCAGAAACAACAGAACACGGGCTGGATTCTCTGGGCCACGCTCCTTGATTTCGGAAGCACTGTTCTGGTTCACCCAGGACAAGACATCGTTTTTCCTTCTAGAACAACAGCTCGGCCCCATCTGAAAGTAAAAGTTCATTGACACTTTTTCAAAGGTTTCACAACTCTTAGCTTTTTTGCTGACTTCAGCAAAATAAGCAGTTATCTGGCCAACTTTAAGACTGAGGTTTGCTAAATTGATCAGCATTCTGAGGCTATCAGAAGACTCTGCATATCTCATGGATACTGTCAATAAATTCACAGTTTCATTTGCTCATTGATTTCACACATTGCTTTTCCTATGTGAAATGCTTTGTAACAGGCTCAATATGAATGTTCAAAGGGAGTGTGATGTGGTCTGCCATGAATATAAGTCAGTGAATAACAAACATTGCTAAATGTCCTATTCTGTGACATAGTCATAACCTACTCCCTTGATTTAGGAAAATCATGTGACCCTTGACTTTTTTTTTTTTTTTTTTTTTGTAAGTCAGGGTCTCACTGGCACAATCTCAGCTCACTGTAGCCTCAACTTTCTGGGCTCAAGTGGTCCTCCCATCTCAGCCTCTTAAGTAGCTGGGACCACAGGTGCGCATCACCACTCCCAGCCTTTTTATTTATTTATTTATTTTTGTAGAGACAGCGTCTTATTATGTTGCCCAGGCTGGTCTCAAAACTACTAGACTCAAGTGATCCACCCACCTCAGCCTTCCAAAGTGCTAAGATTACAGGCATGAGCCATCGCACCTGGCTAGGCCTTGATTTTTTAAAAATTCAAGCAATAATACCTCCTAAAATGAAAAGCAAACCCCCTTCATCTCAGAATCCTAGTCCCATTCCTCAGCAGTTCCTGGTGTACCTTCCAGATACTGTCCCTGCAACCACACAACGTAGATCTGCTTTTCAATACAAATGGGGACATATACGTCATATTATTCTATGTATACGTCTTGATTTTTGTACCTGGTGACACACCTCAACAATCTTTCTGTATCAGCACACACAGCTCTATTCATTTGTTTCCAGTTCTGGAGTATTCCACTGGAATGATGTGCTATATATACATTTTAACCAGCCCTTGATTATGGATATTCATGTTATTTTCAGTTTCTGTTCTTGCCGTGGCAAACAGTGTGGCAATGGCTTTGCTTTTACATACATCTTTATGTGCATTTTCAGAATTTTTGCAGAATAAATTCCTAAAACTGAAATTTCTGGGTCAAAGGGTGTATTCATTTTCTAATTTGTTAGATATCACCAAATAACACTCTATCTTAACACGAAACAAACACATGCAAGGAAGCGGTGCTAATTTACACTCTCATCTAGCATGTGTGCATGTGCTGGTTCCTCATGCCCTTGCTACCACCTAACTTTGTCAAGGTGACTGGTTAAAGAAAACCATGTCTCGGTTCCATTTGTAGTTCTTAATTGTCAGCATGTTTGAGCATCATTTCATCCCAGAACTCTGTATATAATGATTTTTATGTTACCTACCTGCCTTTGTCCATTTTTTTATTATTTACAAAAGTATCTTAATAAGTTTTATAAGGTAATCTTTATCTTTTGTGTTGCAATTTTTTTCTCAGTTCGTCCTGTGGCTTTAATATATTTTACCATGTTCAAGTTTAAGATATGTATATATTATTTATTTATTTATTATTTTTTGAGATGGGAGGGTCTCACTGTTGCTGAGGCTGGAGTGCAGTGGCGCAATCTCAGCTCACTGCAACCTCTGCCTTCTGGGTTCAAGCGATTCCTCTGCCTCAGCCTCCAGAGTAGCTGGGACTACAGGAGCGTGCCACCACGCCCAGCTAATTTTTGCATTTTTACCATGTTGGCCAGACTGGTCTCAAACTCCTGACCTCAAGTGATCCACCCACCTTGGCCTTCCAAAGTGCTGGGATTAAAGGGCATGAGTCACTACACCTGGCCAAGTTTAAGATATATATATATATCATATACATAGAGAGAGAAAGGGATAAAAAGATAAAGGTTGATTAAATTATTTTTCTTATGGCTTCTGAGGCTTGTGTCTTGCTCAAAAAGGATTTTCTTTTTGTTCTAAGATTACTTTTTAAATATCTTCCATATTTTCTTCTAGTGATTTTATGGTTTTTTTTTTTTTTTTAAGTTTAAATGTTTGGTTCAGACTTTCACTTCGGAAGGACATGAAAGCCTTTTGTTCCCATGGTAACGTCAAGGAAAACTCAGAAAAAATAAAAATTATACTTTCCCATGGGGCTAACAAAGATCAGCAGTCAAAAGAAGACTTAATGAACTGAATTTTGGAAACATGAGCCCTTCGTTGGCAAAGAGAAAGCCAGGACAGCTTCCATTCCTCTTCTATTCCTGACATGAGTTTCTAATCTAGGCATCTAAGGGTTGGCCTAGGCAGAGATTTGCAAGGAGGAGAAAAAAGCAGCTGAACTATACATGACGGTGCAGCCTGGATGTGTGGAGTGCAATATAAGAGTATGCTAATCGCAAAAACAAGTTAGGCCAATCACTTTCACATCATCACCACCACTACGCTCAAACTTTGACCAAAAAAGTGTCAGTGAAGAAAGGGCAAAGATGCAGGGCAAAACTACAAAGACCCATGTACTTTCACAATGCTTGGATTCCAAGGGAATATCAATTCATAATATTCAAAGGGAATGTTATGGGCTCTGAAAGGACTTTTTGTTCTAAGATTATTTTTTAAAAAGATGCCATATTTTCTTCTAGTGATTTTATGTTTTTTTTTTTAAATGTTTGGTTCAGACTTTCACTTCAGAATGGCATAAAAGCCTTTTGTTCCCATGGTAACGTCAAGAAAAACTCCAAAAAAAATAAAAATTATACTTTCCCAGGGGGCTAACAGCGATCATGAATACAAGTCTGTGAGTAATATACATTGCTAATGTCCTATTTCATAACATAGGGATAACCTACTCTTTTTATTTATGAAACTCACATGGGTCCTTGACTTTTTTTTTTTTTGGAGGACAGGGTCTCATTCTGTCGCCCAGGCTGGAATGCAGTGGCACAATCACAGCTCACTGTAGCCTCAACCTCCTGGGCTCAAGTGATTCTCCCACCTCAGCCTTTTGTGTAACTGGGAATCCAAAGTAAGTTAAAAATAGCTAAAGTGGAAGCTCATCCACTCAAATATTGGTAATATCTAAAAGATAATAGTACTATGAGAGTGAGGGCTGGTCTAAGCATAAGAGATCTCAATCTAATTAAAGATTCAGCCAATTTGACTCTAAAAGGAATCTGAATAATTAGTCCTTCTCCCTGTTAGACAGAGGGAAAGAGCTTATGTTCTCTGGGGAAAAACAACAAAACATTATTATATTTCAATCTTAATTGTATTTTTATACGCATATTTTAGGTATAATAAAAAATTATGAGGCATGCAGAGATATAATACATACTCACCGATAATTAAAAGAACGCATAGTCAATAGAAGCAGACCCATAGTTAAACCCAGTTACTGGAACTAGGTGCAAGATTATTTAAGCAACTATTATATACATTTTAAACAAATTTATAGAAAAATGTGGATCTAATGGGTAAGAGATAGGGATATGTCAGATGAGAAAAGAGAACTCTTAAAAAAAAGACAAAGTGGAAATTCTAGGATGATAAAATGCAATGTCCGTGATAAAACATTCACTGGATGACAATAACAGCAATTTGAATTTTCAAAAGAAAGCATTAGCAAACCTGAACACAGGTTAATAGAAACTATCCAATTAAGTCAGAGTTTGAAAAAATATAGTAAAAACAATGTGGTGTCAATAATGAGATTAACAACTGACTTCCTATCAGAAATAATGCAAGTCAGAAGACAATGAAATGATAACTTCAAATTATTAAGAGAAAAACACACTATCAACCTAGAATTCTATATACAATAGTCACCCTTTGTCTATGGTTTTGCTTTCCAAGGTTTCAGATACCCAAAGTCACTGCAGTCTGAAGTTATGAAATGGAAAATTCCAGAAATAAACAATTCATAGGTTTTAAATCATGTGCTGTTCTAAGCAGTGGGAAGAAATTTTATACTGTCCTTCTCCTTCCTGCCTAGGATGTAAGTCATCCTTTTGTCTAGCATATTTACAGTCTATGATACCTGCCTGCTAGTCACTTAGTAGCTCTCTTGGTTATCAGATTAAAAAAAAAACAGTGTTTGTAGGGTTCAGTACTATCTGTGGTTTCAGGCATCCACTGGGGGTCTTGGAATGTATCCCCCACAGATAAAGGACAACTACCTTTCAGAGGCAGCAGATGGGAAAACCAGATATAAAAGAAACAAAGTCACAGTGCGGCAATCATGCATAGGGAGTGACAGATGTCCAATTCCGAGCGCACACAAAGATGTCTGGTCCCCAGAGTTCCTGATAGGTCATTAATGCTGGTGGTGTGTCCTGACGATAAGAAGCCATTGTTCTTTTTTCTGTTAAGTAGTGGCTGTGGCTGCTTAGCTACTGATATGCTTTCCTGATTCCTCTATTTTCTGTTCTTTTTCTTTTAAATGACAAGTCACTACCTGAAATAAGAGAAAGTCTCTATGTGTTAAAACCAGAAAGAGCCGACAATATAATTCCTTTAGACAGGATGGCTTCTCTCCTAAGATTTTGGGACATTTCAAACATTCAATATTAAAAAAGGGAGAAGAAGACAACTAGACAGCCCAACAGAGGAAAAGATCACCAATGGCTTCCCAGGATCCTGGACTTCCAGGCATGTAAGTTTTCACAAATTCTCTCCAGTGATAATGCAAAGAGAGAATGAAATACCACCCACTGGTTGATAAAAATTGAAGAACAGATTGTTGGCTTTGCTGAGACAGTCCACATTTTTAATGTAGAATGTAGACAGGTGTCCTGGGTGAAAGTCAATATAGAGAAATTGAGAAAAGGACAGTAAGGGGCTTTTTACTTGTTTCTGCGTTCTAAGCTGAGGTAAGTTCATGAGAGTCTTTTCTAAATTGCCACAATTATAATAACCTGTCCCCTGGTAGTCATCATTTAGCAGTGTGTTTTTCCTATTGCTTGTGTTCAACAAATAGCAATGTAGCTATTACTGGGAATACTTATAATAGGACATTCTGCCCATCAGCCACTCTGCAGGAGTGAGGTATCACCAGTCATTTTCAGGGAAATGCTTTTTTTTTTTCTTTTTTTTGAGACAGGGTTTCACTCTGTCACCCAGGCTGGAGTGCAATGGCACCATCTCGGCTCACTGCAACCTCCACTTCCCAGGTTCAAGCCATTCTTCTGTCTCAGCCTCCTGAGTAGCTGGAATTGCAGGTGCCCGCCACAATACCTGGCTAATTTTTGTAGTTTTAGTAGAGATGGGGTTTCACCACGTTGGTCAGGCTGGTCTTGAACTCCTGACCTCAGGTGATCCGCCCACCTTGGCTTCCCAAAGTGCTGGGATTACAGGTGTGAGCCATCATGCCTGGCCTCAGAGCAATGTTTAGACTCTACCCTCTGCCAAGAGATGATCTAAAGATGGACAACCATCCTTTGGCTTTTAAACCTTCCTTTCACATACACAATACTTAAGTCCAAGGTTACAGTAGCTCTGCTTCTCTGGGTCTCCCTTGGCCCTTTCTCCTCTCTGCACCAGCTTTGTCCTAAGGCCAGCACCTCTCAAGGTTGCAAGATAGATAAGCCATTTCCAGGTTTTACATTTAAACACAGCAATGTTCAGAAGAAGAGTTTTTGTCACCTGGCCATTCCTAAGCCAGTCACCATCAAGGAGAATTGGATTATTCAGACAAACTAAAATCTACTGCATGGAGCTAGGGATAGGCTAGCCTCTCTCAAGAGGCTTGGTTGTGTGGAAGAGAATATATTTCTCAATAAACTGGGTTCTGTTAGGAAGGAGGAAGAGTTCATGGATGTTAGGCAATTTAGGGTATCCTGCCCAAGTTAAATTTTCCAATGGCTGGTATCATTGCTTTTTAACAAACCACAGTTTGTTTAGTTTCATCACCATTAATTTCATTTACTGTGGATTGTTTTCCTAAGCCTACCATGTGCAGTGAAGCATATCTTCACCAACAATACTTTGAACTGTAATTTCCAATAACTAAACTTAAAGGCTATGAACACTGTGAACTAAGAACAGATTATCCACATCGCATCACCAGAGCCGATGAAGTCGCCATCCTCAACACCACCACCAGTATCCCTAAACTTGTGTCCATAATGATCCTTGTTGTTCAGAGTTTTTCCTTAAGAAGGAGAAGAAGAAAAAGCAAGTTGTGTTTGCTTATGGGATATGATACTCTAGCCAAGAGGGCTGGGCTCAGAAAGGATCAAGAATCTCTGCTTTGGGTGGGAGTTCCTATTAGTATTTTCCATTCTTCTTTGCCATAACGAGGAAAGATAATGAATAAAGATTTCTTAGCATCATGTGTGCTTACCTCAGTCTTAGGATGGGAGACACTCAGCTCCTCCTCATTAGTCTCTTGTCTAAAATTAAAAGAAATAAGATCACTTTACTCAATTGACCTTCTCCTACTTCTTGTATAAAGTAAAAAGATCAAGACTTGGGAATTAAAAATACAACTTCTCTGGCTGGAGTAATTGCAAGCTAATTACTGCTATCATTAGGCATTAAATTAAAATTTCAGCACTTAAATTCTACATGCTACAAAGTTCAGGTCCTCATCACATCTTACTTAGATCACTTCAATTGCTTCTAACCTGATCTCACTGACTTCTCCAATTCATCTTAAACAACATTCCCAAGGGATCTTTCAAAAACACAAATCTGATAGTGTCACTTTCTTACCTATAATTTTTTTAAGAGACAGAGTCTCACTGTCTCCCAGGCTGGAGAATCACTTGAACCCAATCTCTGCCTTCCGGGTTCAAGAGATTCGCCTGCATCAGCCTCCTGAGTAGCTGGGATTACAGGCTCCTGCCACCACGTCAGGCAAATTTTTGTATTTTTAGTAAAGATGGGGTTTTGCCATGTTGGCCAGGCTGGTCTTGAACTCCTGACCTCAAGTGATCCACCCACCTCAGCCTTTCAAAGTGCTGGGATTACAGGGGTGAGTCACTGCACCCAGCCTGCCTATAATTCTTAAAAAGCTTTCTACAAGATAAGTAGGCACACATACCCATCTTATTCTGGCCTCTGCCTGTCTCTCCAACCTCATCTCTCACCCCAGTCCCCAGCAAAATTCTACCAGGTGCTGCAGTCTTAGGACTCCCTTCTTGCAGTGTCCAGAACATCTGTGTGCTTCCTGGCTTCCAGCCTTTGTGCACCTTGCTCCTTCTACCTGGAATGTCCTTTCTCCTTTATTCTTCTGCTAAATTCCCATTTATGCTTCAAAATTCCCTCCAAATACCCCATTGTCTTTAAACATCTGTTTTGACTCTACCAGGAAGTTAGTTGTCTATCTTTGGTGCCTTATTTATTCATAGTGTTTAAGATGGTGAGCTTCTAAGTCAAACTGTCCAGGTTGAAAGTCAGGTTCCACCACTTACTGGCTATGTGGCCTTGTCAAGAACTGTGCAGAGTTTGATATTCTATTTCACATACAAGCTATCTAGTTCGCTGTTACTCTTTCATAGGTGCTGGCAGAAGGCACAGAACTCTTGGGTCAGAGACAAAGGACTTTGCTAATCATGACCAAAGCAGTAGGCAGAGCTGCACAATTGCTGGTTCCCTGTGCCCCCAAGTCTTATGATGGAGATGCAGACGGCTCCTCGTGGATGCCTGTGCACAAGGCCAGTCACCTTACAGGAGAGGAACCCTGAGCTTGAGCTTGGGAAATCACCACTTTTATAATAAGTGGAATAAAAAGACTTCCCTGTGGAGAAAGGGGAACATTTATGCACTGTTGGTGGGAATGTAAATTAGTACAACCTCTGTGGCAGTTTCTCAAAGACCTAAAAACAGAACTACCATTCAACCTGGCAATCTCGCCACTGGGCATCTACCCAAAGGAAAAGAAATTGTTATATCAAAAAGTCAGTTTCTCTCATATGTGTATCACAGCACTATTCACAATAGCAAAGGTATGGAATCAACCTAAGTCCATGGATGAATGAATGAATTATAAATGCCCATCAGTAATAGACTGGATAAAGAAAATGTGGCATAATTCACACCATTGAATACTATGCAGCCATAAAAAAAATAATGAGATAATGTCCTCTGCAGGGACATGGCTGGAGCTGGAGGCCATCACTCTTAGCAAACTAATGCAGGAACAGAAAATCAAATACTGCATGTTCTCACTTATAAGCAGGAGCTAAGAGATGAGAATACATGGACACAAAGAGGGCAACAACAGACACTGGGGCCTATTGGAGGGTGGAAGGCTGGAGGAGGGAGAGGATCAGGAAAAATAACTAATGGATATTAGATGTAATGAAATAATCTGTACCATAAACTGCCATATCACAAATTTACCTATGTAACAAACCTGCACATGTACCCCTGAACTTAAAAGTTAAAAAAAAAAAAGAAAATGTGGTACATATACACAATGGAATACTATGCAGCCATAAAAAAGAATAAGATCATGTCTTTTGAAGCAATATGGTTGGAGCTGAAGGCCATTGTCCTAGGTGAAGTAACTAAGAATCAGAAAGTCAAATATTGAATGCTATCATTTACAAGAAGGAGCTAAACAAGGGGTACACCTGAGTACACAGAGGTAAATAATAGATATTGAGGACCCCAGGAGAGGAGGTCAGGAGGGGGATGAGGGTTGAAAAATTACCTATTGGGTACAGTGTTCAGTATTTGGGTGATGGGTACACTAGAAACTCAAACCTTGCATTCAATAATATATCCATGTAACAAACCTGCACACATAGCCCCGAATCTATAAAAATAAAATTTTAAAAGGTGAAACAGAACCTTCTCTTTGTCCAGGGGGAAATGCTACATCATCCTTCAAGGTTGCCTGCTGCAACCCAGAGACACAGCTCAGGTAAAGGGCCATCAGGCAGGCACACCTGCAGGGTGAGGAAGAGACACTCAGGGCCGCAGGGGATCATCTCTCCCGGGACCCCTGGACCTACGATTGAACTTCTCATTACCTCAGTTTCCTTGGGTCTTAAGTTGGGATAATCAAAAGGGTTGAAAGGATTAACCTATGGTAAGTGACAAGCAACAGCTATTACTGTCAATCCTCCACTCTGCCCCTCCCTACTTTCCACATGTTTTATTTGTCACTTTTACTCTATTTCACAGTAAATAAATAATAGAGATGGGGTTTCACTGTGTTGCAAAGGCTGGTCTCAAACTCTTGGGCTCAGAGGATCTTCTCCTCTAGCCTCCCAAATGCAGGGTGCAGGGGTAACAGATGTGAGCCACCACACCTGGCCATAAGTGTTCATTTACAGTTTTTTTCCTACTGCCCAACAGCTCCTTGAAACATACTCATCCCTGCATCTCAGACACCAGTACAGGGTAGATAATTTTACATTTTTGATAAAAGGAGGAAATGAAAAGTCTCCCTGTATATCAACCACTGTGATCTGACTAGAGTCTCTGTATACTTTTGATCAAATTTCATGACTCCAAACTCTTCAATGCTTTGGTGAAAAAAAAAAATCATTCTCTTTTAGGTAGTGCTGTTTTCTTTTCTTTCTTTTTTTGAGACAGAGTCTCACTCTGTGAGACTGGAGTGCAGTGGTGGGATCCGGGCTCACTGCAACCTTCATCTCCCAGGTTCAAGCGATTCTTCTGCCTCAGCCTCCCGAGTAGCTGGGATTACAGGTGCCTACCATGAAGGTGGGCTAATTTTTGTGTTTTTAGTAGAGATGGGGTTTTGCCATATGGGCCAGGCTGGTTTCAAGCTCCTGACCTCAGGTGATCCACCCACCTCGGCCTCCCAAAGTTCTGGGATTACAGGCGTGAGCCACCACGCCCAGCCTAGGTAGTGCTCTTTTCAATGCAATAACATGAAATGACAATTCATTAACACAGGAAGATTAAGTAGTTCCTCTAGGAAAGTTACTTGGTCTCACCTGTTTCCATTTCTATGGAATGGAATGGGGACTATAATAGTGCCTACCCTGTAGTGAGGTTGGAAGAAATAAATGAGTTAATGTATATAAAATGTTTAGAAGAGCACTTAGCACGTGCTAAATCTATGTCAGCTCTTTATTTCTCACTGGATCTCATAACCTCTTGTTGAGTGACGGGAAATCATTGCAGATTTTGGTCGTCTGAGATGCCTAAAAGACAGAAACTTAGTTTCCACTATTATTGCTCTAATTCAGAAAACAGTGACTCTGGAGATAGAAATCCAGTGGGTCCTTGTTTTATCAACAGTTACTCAGAACAATCCAGGTGAACATGTGGCAGGCATTCTCGTGGGCTGCTGGACCTAATGGGCTTCCTCTGACCAGACAGAAGCCGCCAGGAGAGGTGACCCAATGTCTAACATAAATTCTGACCCGTGACCAGTAAATCAGTAAAATCAGAAAAACAAACACATAAATACATAAAGGAAGAATAAAAAAAAGTCCCCGAAACCATTTAACATGGCCATTGTTTCACATACCTGATAGGAAACCATCATTTAGTCTTTTTTCTGAAATAAAGGAGGCTGTGGATAGGCAACTCTTTCTGTAACAGTCTCCAATTCTTTCAGCTGAGTTTTCTGAAATCATGGTCCTTCACTCTACTTCTTTGATTGTCCAAACCTCACTGAAACAAGACTTTCCTGTTCTTTGGCCCCATGCGATGTTTTGTTAGCTAGAAAATGCAGCCTTCTAACCGGTATGCACTTTACTGGTCTCCAGTGTCTATTAAACAGCCAAAAGCCCCTCTCACCCGAGAAACGTTAGAACTCAGAAATGCCTATGGCCTGCGGGTGAGACGAGATTGACTACAGGTCTGTGATTTCTCTGGATTTCACAACAAGACCTGTGTTGTTTTCTACCCCAGTCTACCTATAACAGGATTTCACCCACAGCTGCTGCCAGCATTCACTCACCTCTGACGACACACACCTGCCTGGCCCGCCAGAGATCCACAGCACTAATGCGCAGCTTTTCCGAGATGGGAGAAAGAAAATGCAAAGATTGATAGAAGCGGGAGTTCAACAAGACAACAAAATCCTCAGAAGAGCAAACCCTAGTCCCAGTTCTAACCGCACCTGGCCTTGTTATATGCCTGTAGCTTCTTACGCTGGCATGTGTGTTGTGCATGCATACATGTGTGTAAAAACATATACTCTTTTAAAAAATATTTAACAATCATGGACTATGATAACAAAAGAGACTATTATTTTTCAGATCAAGAGGCTTTCATGTCCCAAATCACATACTCGGTTGAGAGTGGGTCCAGAATTCGGTCTTGGTTGTTCTCTCAGGTCGAAGCACGTGCTACAGTGTACCACGGTGTCTCTCCCGGGTGCCTCAGCATGAACCATTTGCACCTGAAATCAGCTACATAAAAAAAACTCGTTTTCTAATATAGTATCCAGTAAGTAACAGATGTGTCCAGAGCTCCATGCGTTCAGACAAGGCAACAGGGAGCCCCTCAGGGTACCGTTACAGGCTCCCCAACTTTCTTCTCTTCTTGAGCATGTGGAAAGGCCAGACTTCCCATGCAGTTAGCTAGGGACTCATGAATGAGTTTTGGGAAACGGAATATGTGTCTAAGTGGCATCCTCACTACCAGACTGGGCCACACAATATCCCACGTTGCATCGCCATCCTTTAAATGACTTTAGCCCAATTCCTTCCACAACCTCTTTTCTCTAAGAAGCAGAGGACCCTGAGATTGGAGAGCATAGACAAAATTTGAGGCAGAGCTGTCCTGAAAAATTGCGGGACCTGCAAAGCAGTTTATATGAGCAAAAAAGAAAATGTTATGATGTAAGCCACTGCAACTTTAGAGGTTTGTTTTGTTTTGAGACAGAGTCTCGGTCTGTTGCCCAGGCTGGAGTCCAGTGGCACGATCTTGGCTTGCTGCAACATCTGCCTCCTGGGTTCAGGCGATTCTCCTGCCTCAGCCTCCTGAGGAGCTGGGATTATAGGTGCCTGCCACCATGCTTGGCTAATTTTGGTATTTTTAGTATAGATGGGGTTTCACCATGTTGACCAACTGGTCTCGAATTCCTGATCTCAAGCGATCCGCCCACCTCGGCCTTCCAAAGTGCTGGCATTACAGGTGTGAGCCACTGCACCCAGCCTTTAGAGGTATTTATTACAGCAGCGTCTCTAATTCATGTCCCTTTAGTTCACTGGAGATGTCTCCTGAAGCTTCAGTCTGTGGCTGAAGGCCCCACTCAAGGATTGGGTCTCTCGCTGTGGGTCTCTCTCCATTTACCACGGTCATGGTTTCGCTTACCTGATAGGCAATCATCACTCAGTGTTGTTGTTGTTTTTCTGAAATAAACAAAGCTTTGGAGAGATGCCTATTTCTATTATGAGACCAAACTCTTGAACTCTTGACCTCAGGTGATCCACCCATCTCAGCCTCCTAGGGTGCTAGGATTACAGGCATGAGCCACCATGCCCGGCACTATGATATCAAACTCTTATATACCATAGGTCTCTCTCTGGTTATAAAGGATTGCTTATCCTGCTCATGGGACAGACAGGAAGTGCTAAGGAATTAATGCCTTTAGGACCAGCCCCCAATCAACAAGGGATGTCTCCCCTACTGTGGGGAGACAACTGTCAGATACTCTCCGCATATTTGCTCCGCAGCAGGACTGTGCCTAGCTGCCCAGAGTGGTAGCCCTCTCTTCCTTGCTTTCCTTCCTTCCCCCTCCTTCACTGTGCTGGTCAGGATCGCTTCCCAAATAAACGATTTAAAACAAACCCTTGCCACAGTGCCCTGCTATTGCAAGAGGCCAGATCCACAGAAGGAAGTTAGCATTCATTTCGCTCAATGGGAAGGATGTAGTTGAATGAATAACGTGGGCAGCCTAATATTTTTAGGCTTGTAAGTTCCAGTTCTGTTGATGGTTCTGGTGCATGAACCAGCACATCAGGGCCATCTTACTTACCCAATATTTGAGGGAACTGGTAGGGAATGAGTCATAATCCCGAGACTATTTGCAAATGCTAAATGTCATTTTTAAATTAATAAACAAAAACTACAGCCCTTAAAGAGTGTTTTGTGTTTAAAAGCAAAGCCCATTCAGCATATTAAACCTGGAAAACAGAGACAAACCCGAAGAGAAAAATAAAATGTCCTCATTATCCCATGGCAGTTTTAAAATTTTAAGTGTACAGCCTTTTGGTGCTTTTCTCCCCCTATGTATATATATTTTAGCAAAATGAGATCACGTTGTATAAATAGTATTGTAACTTGATTTGCATTTACCAAAAAACAGATGTGTAGCTTTCAGTGGTACTCCGGATATATTTTAGAAAGTGCTCTAAGCCACCAGTCTGCAAGATATAAACCAATGTCTCATATCCATGTTGTACTTTATTCCATCCCAGGACCACTTGATATACTAAAGTAAAAATATGCAAAGGTCAAAATGAATTTATATTTATTTAGAAAACTCAGTGAGACCAGGGATTTTCCTTTTTCCACTTGGTTATAGCCAGAGTTTAGAACAAGGCTTCACACAATATGCATTCAATAAATATTTATTGGATAAATACATGAAGCAACAAAGCAGCTAACACCATTTTACTGACTGGTTTATGTCCACTTGTCAACATGAAGCCAAAATCAGTGTCCAATAACAAGCACTGTTATGAGCATTGGTTTTCTGGGATGGTTGCTTATTGCATTTTCTCTACTTTATTCCCTTAGTCATGGGAATGTAGTAATGGGATTTTCCTGACATCAACAGCGATCAAACCTTGCCATTCCATAGCAACCTAATGCCCCAGAACCGAGGTGAGGTTTCCCAAGGGCGAGGCACAGCTCGTTCCTATTGCTGGAACTCTCCCTTCTCTACAATATCATGTTCTCGTAAATCATTCACACCAAGTTCCATTTGTCAAGATAATTGGGAGCAATTTATAATGCTGTAACCTAGATTTTATCATGAAGACTCTCCCTATTTCCAATTTGCAGTGTTCAGGAATGTGACATGCGCCTGCCACTCAGCAGGACCATGGACCCTTCGTCAATGGACTCACAGTGTCACTGACCTTTATAATCCTGAGACCATCCAAGGCACTGGACACAGAGCCTCTGGCCACCTCTTGGTTCTCTCTTGCAAGTCCAGACAAGGTCTTTGTGGTTTATGTTGCATAGATTCCTACCTCTTGGAGGCTTTTAGAACTTGGCATGGTATTGAAATAACCTTAGGGATCTAACTCTGTGACCAACTAAATGCAATTGTCACCATTTTGGTTATTTGGTGACTTCGGATGTCACCTGGCTGAGCTGGCTCCCCGTTGAAAACGGGACTCTGCCTTTGCAAGGGTATGGGTGAAGCGGGAAAGCATCGTTCTCGGCAAACTGACACAACAGAAAACCAAACACCACATGTTCTCACTCATAAGAAGGTGTTGGACAATGAGAACACACGGACACAGGGAGGGGAACATCACATACTGGGGCCTGGTGGGTGGGGAGCTAAGGGAGGGATAGCGGGGGAGAGGGGATAGAGGAGAAATAGCATTAGGAGAAATACCTAATGTAGATGACGGGGCGATGGATGCAGCAAACCACCATGGCATGTGTCTATGTATGTAACAATCCTGCAAGATCAGCAAATATACCCCAGAACTTAAAGTATAATTTAAAAAAAGAAAGAAAATGGGACTGATGTAATGATAATGCTTTCGGTGGAATTTCAACTTCAAGAACAAGTGGGAAAACTTAGCTTTGGTGAACGGGCGGCACAAGTGCAATATTCCACAGCAGTGGTGTGTTCTAGACCTTGAACACTCCTCCAGGCTGGGTGGGCAGACATGACGGCTGTGCCAGCCAGGCCTTCCTCCCACTTTTAGGTGATAGCTTCCATTTCTTTTCAGAAAAACTCACTCCATGGCATGAACTGGATGATAGTACCATGGAGAAGGGCAAAGAGAGCCTATTAGCCGCCTTGTTAACAATAAAATCCCTTTCCAGCCGCTTCTGTAGCTCCAAGGAGCCATCACAGGGCCTTGAATGTAGTGGACACTCATTCACAGCAAACGAAACTGAAGAGAATAAGCCATCAATTGCTGTATCATCATAGTTGCCTTTTTATTGTTTTGGAATAAAAGTAGCCCAGTACACCCCTGAAGAAACAAACAACAAAAAAAGTAATTACTCTCTTACCTAAGCCAGTCAGGAAAAAGGTATTCCAGCCAAGTGCGGCGCCTCATGCCTGTAAACCCAGCACTTTAGGAGGTGGAGACGAGGGGCTCACTTGAGCCTAGGAGTTCAAGAACAGGCTGGACAACATGACAAGACTCTGTCTCTATGACAAAGTAAAAAATATTGCCAGGTGTGGCAGCGCACACCTGTAGTCCCAGCTACTTAAGAGGCCAAGGTGAGAGGATCGCTTGAGCCCAGGAGCTTGAGGTTACAGTGAGTTATGATCATGCTATTGCACTCCAGCCTGGGTGACAGGGAGAGACCCAGTCTCAAAAAGGAAAGAAGGAATGGAGGGAGGGAGGGAGGGAGGAAGGGGAGGAGGGGAGGAAGGAAGGAAGGAAGGAAGGAAGGAAGGAAAGGGAAGGGAAGGGAAGGAAAGAAGGAAGGAAGGAAGGAAGGAAAAAATCAGATGTTCTTAGTAATTACACATAGAACACATTGATATAGTTAGGTATGGCATTCCATGTGGATGATTAATTTGTAATAATTAGAACTCGGAGCTCTGGGTTGAGTGACACACTGCCAGCAGTGTGGGTGCTGGGGAGAGCAGAGACAGGAGGTGGAACAGACAGCAGGGGAGCAAGGCCTGTGGGCAGAGACGCAGCAGACCCTGAAGTGTCCCGTGCCTCAGTTTCTTCCTGCATACAAGAAGCTTAGATAATTGCAGAGGCGCTGTCAGGTTCTAAAATGTGTGGGGAACCTGAAGACAGTGAAATATCACACAGAGACATTTAGAGACTAGGAAGGATAAGCGAGAAACCACTTTAATAAGACACTTCATCGACTGGGCATGGTGGCTCTCGCCTGTAATCCCAGCACTTTGGGAGGCTGAGGCAGGCGGATCACGAGGTCAAAAGATTGAGATCATCCTGGCCAACATGGTAAAACCCCGTCTCTACTAAAAATAAAAAAAATTAGCTGGGTATGGTGGAGCCTGCCTGTAGTCCCAGCTATTCAGGAGACTGAGGCAGGAAAATTGCTTGAACCTGAGAGGCAGACATTGCAGTGAGCCGAGATCACACCACTGCACTCCTGCCTGGTTACAGGGCAAGACCCAGTCTCAAAAAATAAAAATAAAAAATACGTTTCAGCAAAAAATCTTCCATTTGATATCACAATTTAGGATAAGTAGCCAACATAGATAAAATACCAGAAAATAGCACATGATTTCCATTGTCCTACCAAGCAGAATAGCATTTTTTTTTCTGAGATGGAGTTTTTCTCTTGTTGCTCAGGCAACCTTATATTTATAGTTGGGTAATGTTAGAAAAATGTGCTAAGACAATTCAATGGGGGAAAGAAGAGTTTTTTCAACAAATGATTCTGGGACAACTGGGTATCTTGATGCAAAAAAAAAAAAAAAAAGATATTTGAACCCCTGCTTCTCACTATCCATAACAATTAACTCAAAAGGAATCAAAGACCTAAAGGTAGGAGCTAAAACTGTAAAACTGAGAAAGATACAACAACATAAGTCTCCGTGACCTGAAGGGTTAGGCAATAGTTTCGTTTTCACCAGAAATAGTCTGGTTGACCTTAAAAGAGCCTGCTTCACACAGCATTAAAGATCTGTTTCACACTTCACACATCGCTCTTGCAGTAGGTAGGGCTGCCTATGCCAGTCTTGTAACACAACTCATGCTGCAGCTGAAATGTGTGTACACCTGCTTAGACGGTGTGAACACACATGCACACATACAGCGTAGTTGCAGCCACTCACAAAGCCTGAATCAGTCTCTTCAAATCCTCTATGTGCTTCAGCTTAGAGAGTCACTGGGAACAGCAACCTCTCGGGGTAAGCCGGGAACAGTACAGTCATGCTGATCCTGAAACTGTTTCAAATATAGCCTGGAGTAACTTAATACCTTTATAAACAGAAATGAAACTGCGTTTAAATAACGACCCAAACCAGATGGCACCAATGTCGTGTTCTCTTCAGAAACGGAAAGAGGAACAAAAGAGAGACTCCTTCCCAAGGGAGCAGGTGCAGCAGCTGGGGGCCATGGGGGCTTTCCCTGAGTGCTGCAGGCACTCTACAGCCTGGGAGCATGTGCTGGGTAGAGCTGCTCAGAATGCTCATTCTCTGATTTTAAGCAATTAGTATGGCTGTGACAGCAGCAATGCAGAATTCTCAACACAATTCTACTTCCTAACTATAGTATTTGCTGAAATGTGCAACGTGTTATATAAATCGACTAAAATTTGTTGAGTGTTTACTGTGAGCCAGACACTATTGTAACAGTATTACCTATATTAACATATTTAATCCTTACAATAATCTTTTGAGATGGATTCATTTTTACCAAAAATGTACATTGAAATGCAAGCAGGTTAAGTAATATGCCCAATTCATAAAGCTTCTCATCAGAGTTTGGATTCAGGTCATCTGACTCCATAAGCCAGGTCTGTAGCCCTTACTCTCTTTTGCTAAACTGCCAAAATTTTAAAAAACTGCTAAATGAAATCATCCATTCCTGGGTGTATTTGTTTCTATTGTCACTGTAGCAGATTGCCAAAAATTTAGTGGCTTTTAAAATAACACAAATTTATTTACTTACAGTTTTGAAGACCAGAGGTTGGGGCTAAAATCAAAGTATCAGCAGAGCTTCGTTCCTTCTTGAGGCTCTAGAGGAAAAGCTATTTCTTTCCCTTTTGCAGCTTCTAAAGGCCACCTGCCTTTGTTAGCTGGTGGCCCCCTCCTCCAACCTCAAAGCTCATCACTACACCCTCTGATTTTGCTGTCTCGTCTCCTTTCTCACCCCGACTCTCTCGCCATTCTCTAATTGGGACCCTTGTGATGACACGGCATCCCACTGAAAAAAATCTGCAATAATCTCCCCATATCAAGTTCCTTAACTCAATCACATGTGCAAAGTCCCTTTGCCACATAAGGTAACAGATTCACAGGTTCCAGGCCCTGAGATATGGACATCTCTTGGGGGACGGTCTTTATTCTAACACAAATGGGGAACTAATAAGCCCACACATGTGTCTGCATCATATGCCTCTTAAAAAAGTAAAAGGCAAGAAAGAAGAATAAAACACAAGTCTGCAAATTCATAAAGCACTTGGAATCTAGCAGTGGTCAATATGGGGGTTACGTTGAATTGCCCACAATGTCAACTTCTGGTAGATTTATGCAAAATCAACAACTGTGAAAAGTTTCACATGAAACTCAAAATCAATAGCAGAGAGATTTGAGAAAATCACAAATATGTGGAATTAAATAATACATTCCTAATAACCAATGAATCAAAGAAAAAAACCACAAGGGAAATTTGAAAATACTTAAAGATGAATGAAAATGAAAATACAACATGCATAAACTTATGGAATACCAAAAAAGCAGTTCTCTGAGGGAAATTTATATCTGTAAATGCCTATATTTATAAAAAATAAAAGTTTCAAGTCAATAAACCAATATTCTACCTTAAAAAAACTGGAAAAAGAAGAGCAAACTGAAGCCACAGCAGGCAGAAGAAAGGAAATACTAAAGATCAGAGTGGAGATAAATGAAATAAAGAATAGAAAGACAAGGGAAAGAATCAATAAAGCCCCAAGTTGTTTTTTGAGAGCATTAAAAAAAATAGATAAATTTTGGATAAACCGACCAAGGAAAAAGCAGAGATAGCTCAAGTTAATAAAATCAGAAAGGAAAGTGAGGCGATTACTACTGACCTTACAGAAATAAAAAGGGTTATAAGAGTGTACTATGAAGAGTTGTATGCCAACAAATTACATAACTTAGATGAAATGGGCAAATTCCTGAAAACATACAAACTGTTAAAACTGGTTCAAGAAGAAGAAGAAAACCTGAATAGCCTATACCAAGTTTGGAGACTGAGTTACCTAAAAAAAAAAAAAAAAAAACTTCCAACAATGGATTTTATGGATTCGATGCAAGTGCTAGCACAGTTCTAATCTTCCTTTTTTGTAGAAATGGATAAGCTAGTCCTAAAAATTATATGGAATTATAAGGGACCATGAATAACCAGATAATCTTGAAAAAAGAAGAACCAGGTAGGAGGACTCAGACTTCCTGACTTCAAAGGTTACTATAAAACAACAGTAACCAAAACAGCATAGCATTGGTGTTAGGATAGGTATAAAAATAAATAGAATAAATTTGAAAAAGAGAATTAAACACATACATCTATGGTCAATTGATTTTTGACAAATGTACCAATGGGAAAAGAACAGTTCTTTCAGCAGATGGTACTGTGACAACTGGATTTCCACATCAAAAGTATGAGTTTGGGTCTGTACTTTATGCCATATACAAAAGTTAACTCACATTGGAGCAAAGACGTAAATGCAAGGCCTAAAACTATACAACACAGAAGGAAACATAGGTATAAATCTTCATGACCTTAGATTGGGTAACGGTTTCAAATATGACACCAAAATCATAAGCAACATGATATAAAATTGATAAATCGAACTTCATGAAAAATTTCAAATTTTCCACATGAAAGAACACTATCAAGATGGTGCAAAGACTATTCTCAGAATGAGAGAAAACATTTGCAAATTATGTGTTTGATGAGGGTCCAGTACCCAGAATATATTGAGAACTTTTACAACTCAATTTAAAGAAGGAAATAACCAATTTTTATTTTTTTAAATTGTGGTAAAATATAAATAACATATATATAATTAAGCATCCTAACCGTTTTAAAGTGTGTAGTTCAGTGGCATTAAGTACATTTGCATTGCAAAAAAAATCTGATTTTTTAAATAAGCAAAGGACATCATAGACATTTCTCCAAAAATGGTTTATAAATGGCCAATAGGCAGATAAAAAGATGCTCAGCATCATTAGTATTAGGGAAATGCAAATAGAAACCGCCATGAAATATAATTCACATTCATAGGAGCAGAAAATAACAAATGCTGGTGAGCTCGTAGAGAAATTGGACCTCATACATTGCTGGTGGGAGCAATGGTGGGCCCCAAATCATACCGGTAAAATGCAAATGATACAGCCACTGTTGAAAAGAGTTAAACATAGCGTTATCATATGACCCAACAATTTCACTCCTAAGTGTATCTCAAGAGAACTGAAAATGTATGTTCACGCAAAAACTTGCTCATGAATGCTCATAGCAGCGTTTTTCATAATAGACAAAAAAATGGAAACAATTCAAAGACCATTAAATGATGAATGGATAAACAAAATGTGGTATATTCAAACAATGGAATATTATCCAGCCCTCGAAAGGAATGAAGAATTAAGACATGTTATGACATGAATGAACCTTGGAAACACCAAGCTCAGGGAAAGAAGTCAGGCACAGAAAGCTACTTACTGTATGATTTCATTTATATGCAATGTCCAGAATAGGCAAATCCATAGAGATGGAAGGTAGATTAGCAGTTGCCAGGGGCCGGGGGGAGGGAGGAATGGGGAGGACCTTGGTCCCCAGCAGAGCACACGCCAGCTAACCTGTGATGGCCATGTGGCATGAATGAGAAATGGACATTTACTGTTGTATTTTATTTTTTAATTTTTTATGTTTTTTTGAGATGGAGTTTCTCTCTTGTAACCCAGGCTGGAGTGCAATGGCACGATCCTGGCTCACCGCAACCTCCGCCTCCCTGGTTCAAGTAAATCTCCTGCCTCAGCCTCCAGAGTAGCTGGGAGTATTGTTGCCACCACACCCAGCTAATTTATTTATTTATTTGTTTGTTTTTATTTTTAGTATCGATGGGGTTTTGCCATGTTGGCCAGGCTGGTCTTGAACTCCTGACCTCAGGCAGTCACCTCCTTTAGATGATGGCCTTTTTTCTGTGGTTTCCCTGTTTTCTCCATCTCTGCCACTGTCCCTGTATTCTACTCTACCTCCCTAATCTACCCTCCCTGGACTTGCCTGAAAGACCTGGACCTGGATTGAACATGGAACATTTCTTACTAGACTTGGTTGTAGGAATATTACCAAGCATTCACTGCAGATGCAAGTTAAAGAACAATATTTTAAATATTGTCGGCTTAAACTAGGCGGCAAAATATTCAAACACAAAATCTCAGATGCAGCAAATCACAACAGTGTGTTCTGGTGATGCATTGGGGTAAATGCAATCATTCACAGGCTCCTCAGAGCCTAATTAACCAGGATCCCAGCTGGGGGCTACAGGAAGAATAACTGTGGATTCTACCTTCACTGCAACAGGTTACAACTGCTGATTTATGACTCTTGGCAGGAACAGCTGGCCCTGGGCCAGGGAGATCACACAGGCAGCCAAGGAGCCCAAGGGTTGCACCCCATCCTGGTCCACCCCAGGGTGAGGACAATGCTCTTGGTCACCAACTGCTCAGGATTTACCTGAAGTGGAGTAGTCAGAAGCTGCAGAGAGTCAATGGAAAGATAGGGGCCACCTCTTGGGAACAGCCAGGACCAGCCCTGCACCATATCAACACTTCCGCTGAGCCTTTGCTCCTGGGTCCCTCGCCAGAGCAAAGCCATTTCCTGCCAAGAGCCTAGTACCTTCCTGATGATCCAAGCTGTTTCTTCCCAGGGGTGACCTAGCAACCATTGAGCCCTTGCATTCTTTTCTTTTAAAGGCCACCGTCTCCCTCCTTCCCCCAAACAAGGGGACTGCAGAGCGCACCCTGACCAAAGCATTCATGCTCAAGTGTTTATGGTTGCATGTATTCTTGTACAGGGATGTCTGCGTTTTAAATGCCAGCTTCTAGACGTGGCTGTCACTCCGAGAAATAAATCTGTAAGGGATATTTCTTTTCTAGAACGGATGGAGTGGAGGTGGAAGCTTTCAGCATCTTTTGAAATTTCATTTTGAGATAAAATGATGAGAATTTCATTTCTCCTCATGCAAGGCCATTCTCATTCTCGCTGGCCAGCTGAAATGTGTGTTGGAAGAATGCAACGGGCTCTTAGGGAGCAGATGTTCGGGGCAGCACAGACACGCATTGGCTCAAGAGCAAACACTCAGGGAAGGAGCTGAAAGGAGTTTTTTTCAGAGAGCACAGCTAGTTCCTGAGACTGAGGGTCATGTCCCAACTGCTGCTGCATTTTTCCAAGTTCTCCATTTCTTCCAAAATCATACATTTTCTCAGTATTTTTTGGTGTACTACCTTTAATAGGCATATAAACGTTTTAAAAGCTCATATCAGTATTGATAGCTTTCCTATAGATTAAATGTATTCTTAAACTCTCACTGCCAACATCCACCAAATAGAAACACAATTTTTTTCTTTTTTTAGACAGAGTCTTGCTGTGGCACCAGGCTGGAGTGCAGTGGCAGGATCTTGGCTCACTGCAACCTCCACCTCCTGGGTTCAAGCAATTGTCCTGCCTCAGCCTCCTGAGTAGCTGGGACTACAGACGTGTGCCAACACGCCCAGCTAATTTTTGCATTTTTAGTAGAGATGGGGTTTCACCATGTTGGCCAGGATAGTCTCGGTCTCTTGACCTCATGATCCACCCGCCTCGGCCTCCCATAGTGCTGGGATTACAGGCATGTGCCACTGCGCCCAGCCAACACAATGAATTTTAAGGCAAAGGGGCTCCTTGCCTCAAGGTACCCCCAATATTACCCACTGTGATATTGTTGTCTGCCCCGCTATAAATCACGTCCCATTATTATGAATAATTATCTTTCAATAGGGGTTAATTTAGAATTCTATGCTTTTTTTTTTTAATTTAAAATGTGTGGTGGCTCACATCTGTAATCCTAGCACTTTGAGAGACTGAGGCCAGGAATTCCAGACCAGTCTGTCTCTACAAAATAATAATAAAATTTAAATATTAAAAAAAACAAAATTGAACAATAAAATGTGTGTGCCCTTACTGTATTTGCTTTCTCCTTATGAAAATATACATTTTCCTTATGACTTAAACAACATGCTAGTTTATTACGAAAAACTTAAAAAACAGAAATTATAAATAAGAAAAATCTTTCTGGCTGGGCACGGTAGCTCGCGTTTGTAATCCCAGCAGTTTAAGAGGCTGAGGTGGGCAGATCATCTGAGGACAGGAGTTTAAGACCAGCCTGGCCAACATGGCAAAACCCCATCTCTACTAAAAATACAATAGATTAGCCAGGCATGGTGGCATACACCTGTAATCTCAGCTACTTTGGAGGCTGAGGCAGGAGAATTGCCTGAACCTGGGTGGCAGAGTTTATAGTGAGCTGAGATCGCACCACTGCACTCCAGCCTGGGCAACAGAGTGAGACTCTCTCAAAAAAGAAAAGAAAAATCTTTCATAAGTGCATGACAAGGAATTTCCCCAGTAACTTATTCTCTGCATATATATGTATATATATGTATATATTTTTAAAAAATCAGAATCACACTATGGTGCAAACATTTTTGTCATTTAGTAGAGTGCATTTTTTCTGATGTTCAATATTCTTCTATGTGATAGACATGCCAAATCCATCTCTAGACTCT